ATCAGGCCAAGGGTTCTTCCTGTTTTCATTTTGTGCTGCACCTTCAGCATCTAAACTATTGCTTATCATCTAAACAAGTGTCCTCAAACTATGCCCGTGGGCCACATGCGGCCCACCTAGGACATTTATCCCGCAAGCCAGGTGTTTTTTGCTGCCGCTGCCTGTCCTGCTTAGCAGCTGACTCGTCCCGGGGACCGCAGTCCAGCCCTCCAATGGTCTGAGGGACAGTGAACTGGCCCCTTGTTTAAAAAGCTTGAGGACCCCTGAAATATGTGATCTGATCAATATTTGTTGAATAAATGAGGGTGGAAAGGATGGTGTAAAAGAGTGAAAAGCAATGCCAAGTCTTGAATTTTGACCCTTAAATGCTTTTATATGCTCCTCAGAGACCCCTGTCACAGTCAGGGGGTTCTTACACTTCCCTAGACTATTACAGCCCCCTTCCAGCTGGTCTCTCTGTCTCTCTACTCTGCAATACATTTATCCTTTCTACTCCCTCCTCCCCATCACTACCAGACTTGCTTCCTAAATATAGATCTGATTATCTCACTGTTCTGTTCACAGTTCTGTCTTGCTTTGCCTATAGAAAAAAATTCCAGTTTCTTCAGTGTGTCATTTTATTCCCAGTATAGCTTTCTAGTCTTATTTCTGCACTGGATACTTTATGCTCTAGTAGTCACATCAAAACCCTTATGCCCTATGTTTTTATGTGACCATGACTTTACCTGTAGGGGTCTATAAGCCTGAAAAGCCATTCTTTTTTTTTGTTTATTTGTTTTAATGCTTATCAAAATCTTACTCATTCTTACTTAAAATCACCACAGTCACCCAAAATCTTTCTAAAGTCTATTCTAATGTACAGTGAAGAAAAGTAATAATTCATTTGCTCTGTGACCTGGCATGAGGAGGGAGAGTTGACCTGAGTGGAAATGGTGGGAAATGAAGAAATGAAGCCAAGAAAGACAGAGAGAGAGAGAGAAAGAGAGAGAGACAAAGAAAGACAGGAGATGAGAGAGAGGATGGCGTGGGGAGGACTGATGCAGTTGGTGGCTGTAGCCAGCACCTGAACCGTGGAAATAGCTTTGTTTATACAGTATAAAGGTTGCATAAATCTTAGCACACGAGGAAGAGATCAGCCGTAAAGAGAAAAAACTGTGTGCTTGCTGATAACAAGGAAAGTATGCGTGGGCTACGTGACTTCTGGTGGGTGGGAAGAGTGTTGTTAAAGAGGAGAAGTGGTTGGGGGTTGCTCTCTGAGTTTCCAGGCTGTGGGGGGCCCTGCTGCCCACAGCCTGCTCCCCACAATTTGCAACAATTTTTATTTTGGTACTTATCATCATCTGCCTCATGTTTTAAAAAGCTATCTCTACCTGGTTCTTTGTACCCTCAGTGACTCCCCAACAATAAAAAAATTAAATTAAAATAAAAAAGCTATCTCTATCTTTCCCTTCTAGATTTAAGCTCCTTAAAGCCAAGGTCTTCATGTTTTATTTCTGTTTATTCCTTGCAAGTCTGAAGTACAACATTTTATGCATAATGGCTCCACACCTCCCTTTTTATTTCTGACAAGACACTGGATAAAGCTCTTACCACCTAACACCCAATTCCATCAGCTTCTCCTTTCCTGTCATCTCCCTGTCCGTCTTTGGCAGGCATCGACAGGCATTGATCTATCAGATCACATATTAGGTAACAGGCAATAGTTTAGTTGCTAAAGGTGCAGCACAGCTGGCGGGTTTGAACCCTGCCCAGGCCTGCCAAACAACAAAGACAACTACAACTAAAAAATAGCCAGGCTTTGTGGTGGCGCCTATAGTCCCAGCTACTTGGGCGGCTGAGGCAAAAGAATCACTTAAACCCAAAAGTTTGAGGTTGCTGTGAGCTATGACACCTAGGCACTCTATTGAGGGTGACATAGTGAGACTCTATCTCAAAAGAAAACAGGAAAAACCTTTGGCCTCATAGAACTTACATTCTGGTGAGAAGAGAAAGACAATCAACAAGTATACAGCACATCCCATACTGTCAAGACTACTTGACCTGGCACTTAAGACTAGGTCTAGGTTCATCCTACCGCCCTCAAGATGACCCTGTTGTGCCCGAAAATTATTCTCCCAAATAGCCCCAACAGACTAATCCGAGACACACTCCGATGTAAAAAGCATGAGGTAAGGTCTTATTCAGACCGGTCTGGACTCCCCTGGCATGCAAGCCTAGGACAAGCCCCGAACCCGGGGTGGAGCAAGTTTTTATGGGGTACAGAAAGCAAGAAGGGGAGGAGG